CTCAAGCCCTTTGAAAGAGCTGATCTGACTTGGCACTAAGCTTTTGTGTCATCTTAGTGGAAAGCATAATTGCAAGCAAAACCTTTCTGGGACCATCTGACTTCCTTGAGCGAGGAAAATAGTCAAATCTGTTCTATTGAATGTAGAATCATATCCTTTGGAGATTATCAAACAATATCACATTCCTTACTTCTAGCTCTTCTGGTTTTCATGTAGAAAAGTATCAAAAACAACAAATGCATCCAAAAGCCAGTAGAGGTCTTTTCAGAAGGGACTGTAGAATTTTTTGCTGCGCACATCTCTTGGTTTTGCATACTAATCTCCATGACAAACTGTGCTTGATTCTGCTCCCATTGATGTCAGTGACAAAACTCCCACAGATTTTAGCTGGAACAGCATCAAACCCAATTTTGCTGATGGTTCAAAAGAAAATTCATATTTTCTTAAGTTTCCAATATAATTTCTTGGCTTCTTTCCTACACAGCCCCTGTCTAGAGGAATGTAGACCTTGTGGGATCTTAATTTATAACATGTCTATTGCTGTCGCAGCTATAAATTACAATGTCAAAGTCCCAAGGACTGTATTGTTACAATACACAAACAGCTCTTGGGAAAGAAGAATACTACTAAATTTCACTGAAGGTATGTGACACATCATGAGGAATGGCATGAAGAAAGTACATATTTGAATATCTGTCTCTGCATGTGTTTTCTACTCCTTTATCTGTTTGAGCAACCTTTGGTCTTCAGAAACCATTGAATCATTGTTCTGTGCCTAATATTTCCTTTGGGAAAATGTTCTAAATGATGTGCCTGCGGAGCCAAATTCTGGCACAGATCAACTCTCCCTTTTACCTAAATGTATCTCCTATTGTCACACTCTTTTTTCTGACATTCATCATGGTTTCTGCAGGGAATCTAGCTACAACGTTAAGTACTGAAATGAACAGCTGTAAGTGCTCCATCATGGTAAAAGGCTCTAGTCTGTAATTCACGTGCAAGGCAAACAGTGTGTGGAAAGATGCCTGCACTCATTGCTGCACTGATCATACTTGGAAAATTATTGTGTAGATGATATTAATTCATATATGTAGTATATATTTGAATTATGGTAGCTTCATGTTTCTTCTGGAGAAACAGTTCCACAAGAACATCTGAACAATAACTTTAATTTTTAAACTAGACTCCCAAGCGAATCCCTCATTATGTTATGAGCCATATTGGGCTAATGAGTGTGAGTGCTATGTTTAAGTTTTTCTATACAAAGAATTCTTGAAAGGAGTTTAGTGTGAGGAGAATAAATTTTCCTCATTAACATGAACTGGGAATACCGATAGTACGTGCCTTGATTTAGCAGCGTGGCTAAAGCAATAAAAGGTGAATGGTGATCACAGTCATTTTCTGAGTAGTGCTTGAACAATGATGTTTGCTAACTCCGTTTCAATATTTTTATGCTAGAATAAAATGGCCTTTTAAAAATTAGATGGATCTAGTCTAATTAATCTAATCTATATTAATTTAATCTAATTTAATTAAAAATTAGATTAAATATATAGACAATCTTAACAAAGGTGTTCATTCATAAAGTCAATGAAAAATATCTGCTCCAGAAAAAACTGCTGTGTAGATAAGCCATTTGATATGGACAAGTGACTACAGAGTGACTGAGTGGCTGCAGCAAGCAAATACTGCAGTCACAGATGTGCACACACATTTAGGCTGAGCCTGCTGCAAGATGAAATATGTTATCTGAGCCCACGGTAAAGGTGTTATAAGGTCATATGTTTTATCTGCAGGCAGGGTAGCGGGGAGACAGCAAGATGCACATGCTGTCTGATGATGTGGTTTGACTGAAGATGAGCTCAGCTCCAGTAATGATTGCTAGAAATTGTCTGGCCACCATGCTGGCATCTGCAATATGGTTACATTTTCTGCATTTGCCTTCATTCCTCCTGTGGACTGAAAGGAACTGTAAAGAGACAACAACTTGGAGGATGGCCCCTGAAATTAAGTAAATGGAAATTAAACTGTGTTTCTCTGACTTGTGATGGTGAAGACTTTTTTGGGATTTTTGTAACAATCACTTTCTTCCAGTTGTCTAAGTCACAGAGTTTACATAGCTGGCCTTGGATGAAGTTATTAGAATAAACATGCTTCCAGCTATATGGGCAAAAATTTCCTTCTGCCATTTTGCTTGATATGTGAAGACTTCAGCTAAAGGATTTCTTAGACATTTTTTCCACCCTCAAGAAAATAATAAAAAAAAAAAAATCAATTTTTTAATTTCAAGTTTATCTGTTTCGTAACAAAAGTAATCAAAAGGAATTCTCTAAGCCCTAGAGTCTTAGTGAGAGTTGTAGCAACTAGCTGGAAGGACATAGCAATACAAATGAAAGCACAACAGGTTGCTATTTAGGAAGAAATTGCACACAATAGGAACAATCACCAGCAGCTAATCTTTAATTTAGACATGGTTTCCACTCTGGCTGGGTCAAAAATCATTCTACTTTTTGACTCTGTCTTGTCCAAGTGTTTTGAAAGATGAGCTGGGGAGATTTTAGTGCTGTCCACACCAGTTTTGTTTGAGGTTTGTGTATGCAAGAATTAGGATGGGATTCTGTAAATAAATGGACTCCTCTAACATAAAGAGAATCAAGGCAAGAAGAGATGTGTTGCCTTACTGAGGAGTTAATGACAAAGGCTAGATTTTAGTCTAATGATCAAAGAATCTCAGAATCATAGAATTGTTGAGGTTGGCAGGGACCTCTGAAGATCACCTAGTCCAACCCCTCTGCCGAGCTGGATCACCTAGAGCACATTGTGCAGGATGGCATCCCGGTTGGTTTTGAATATCTCCAGAGAAGGAGACTCCACAACCTCTCTGGGCAACCTGTCCCAGTGCTCTGTTACCCTCACAGTAAAGTGCCCTCTCATATTCAGCCAGAACCTCCTGTGCTTCATTTTGTGCCTGTTGCCTCCCATTCTCTCTCTGGACACAACTGAAAAGAGACCGGCTGCATTCTTTTGACACCCTCCCCTCAGATATTTATACACGTTGATGAGATCTCTCCTCAGTCTTCTCTTTTCCAGGCTAAATTGGTCCAGTTCTCTCAGCCTGTCCTCATATAACAGGTGCTCCAGTCCTCTATTCATCTTCGTAGCCCTCCTCTGGACTCGCTCCAGTAGTTCCATGTCCCTCTTGTACTGGAGAGCACAGAACTGGACACAATACTCCAAGTGTGGCCTCATGAGGGCTGAGTAGAAGGGAAGGATCAGCTCCCTTGACCTACTGGTAACACTCTTCCAAATGCACCCTAATGATACCAGTCTGAGGGTCCTAGTATGTACAGTGCATAGAAATCAGCTACAATGGTAGATGGTTTTGAACAGTTAAATTACTCTCTCTTGGCTGCCCTCTTGTAGCATCTCCACCTTCTGTGTGCATCCCATACTACCTCATCATGGCTTTCTCATTCTGTGCTAGGAAGCAACCTGTGATGTTTTCCAAATGGTGGTGGTGTGCTTTGCACACAAAGTGCACACAGCCCTAGCCACATGGAGCTTTGCAGCTTAAGAGAAAAGGAGATGGAGACACAAGAGGAGAATCCTCCAGGGTCATTTCTTTGTACTGGATGGAGAAACTGGGAGGCAAGGAGAAGATAGGATTCTCTTTTTGCTCATCCTATCAAGCAGAAGAATTGCAGAAGGACTTAGGATCTGGTTGCACTCTGCAGTGCAGCAACATTGAAAGACAGCCAAGTTAGTCATGGAGCTAAAAGCAGAGTAGTCAAGGGAGGGTGGTGCTGTGCCCAGGCTAAATTAAACTGCTGAGAAAGTAATGAGCCCTGGTGGAACTCAGTGCTGATGTAGCTACACTTACTCCCAGTCCTGAGCTGGTATCTGCACAGCACATCACTGAACATACTTTTATTAATTTTTAGGAGAGTCTTAAATGTGGAGTTTGCTTAATGAACTGGAATAATTCGGAAAGCAGATAATGAGGAAATGAATCTCTTTCGGTCTACAAAGTAGGATGATTGTCTGGCCAATGCTGCAGTTAAGTATATCTTAAATATTTTCATATGTGCCAGCCACCCAGCTGATCTCATTACACAGAGTGCTGTCTGATGTCCCCATTCTGGTCATTCTCCTGATAAAGCTCCCAGATTTATATTCTTTTGTTAGCATCTGATGAAGTCCTCTGGAATCACTGTTGGGGATAGCATCATAGAATCATAGAGTATCGTGAGTTGGAAGTGACCCACAAGGATCATTGAGTCCAGCTTCTGGGTCCCCAAAAGACCACCCCAAAAATCAGACCATGTGTCTGAGAGCCTTGTCAAAATGTCTCTTGGATAGGAAGCTGGTATCACTTAGATGAGGTGAGCTGGGAAGCGTGAAAAGGAAGAGGTTAAATGGAATAAAGTGTAGATAAGGTGCAGGTATTTTAAACCAGACTGGATATTATGTTGCAAAGGAATTGTGTAAATGGCAGGATCAGCAAATATGAGCTGTGGAATAGTAGGATTATGTTAGAAGGCTACAGAACATTGAATTATTCTTCTCAGAATTTAGCTTAGTTTAAAGTTCACTGGTATAATTATAGGCAATGAGAAGATAAGGCTTTTGTATCAGGATGTTAGGAGACATTATTTGAAAAAAAAAAAGGGGGGGTGGAGGAGGGAAGGGTAATCCTGCAATGAAGATTTACCTTGGAATTTGGGACAGACTGTGTGTATGTAGAGTTAGAATTTTCATTAGGATTTATCTCTCCCAACAGAACATGTCACCCTTGTAATTACTCATTCCTCCAAAGCCCCATTAAATTAAACACTTTATATGAATTGTCTGCTATGCAATACAAAAAGTGCTTGAAATTTGAAGGAAATTAGTTTGCAAATACAGAAAAACTGAAAGTTAACTGGATTATCTAAAAAGATGTTTTTTAATTAAAAGTAAATTGCTACCTCAAATGATGAATTGCTACACCTGCCACCAACATAAGAAACACAAAGAGTAACTGCTGACGAAGGAGATGAAGTGTTGGTAAACCCACTTTCCCTCAGAAGAAGGGTCATAAAGGGTTGATTGACTCTCCAGAAGGAAGGAATGCTTCTAAAAATCTTTTTGGTATGCATAACTCCTCCCTTTTGTTTTATCTTCACTGCAAGATTTTAGGAAGCAAAAAAAACATTATATTCATATGTAATTAAGGACTATGATAAACTATTAACTTTTTTTTTATTTTATTTTACTGTTTCCTCTTCCATAAGGAGATAATCTCTGGAGACTACTATATGGTTATCTGGTTTTATTTGAGAAATGTGTTCTAATTTTGGAGGACTCGTGTCTGCACATTTAAGGAATGGGTGAGGTACTACGATGTTATCCTTTTGTGAGGACACAGAGGAAATGTGGCAGTTAGGCTTCAGTGAACTTCTGTAAAACCAGTTGACATGTGCAGCCCAGTGCTTGACAAAAGCATTTATTGAGGCCCATTGGTCACCTACACTATGACAATGGCATGTCAGTTTTGTGCATTTACCACCCTGATCCCAGCTGTGAAATAAAGGAATTCTAGCTTCAGAGTTGAACTGAGGTTTTGGTAACTGTTTTCCTTTAATCCTCAACTGGCCTAAATTGTTATGCTAAATGTGAGCTGTAAAGCAGTTATGATTTTCTGCACACGGGAAAAGCTGAATCATTTTGGTAGAAAAGTGATTTCCAAATATATATTAAAAAAATAATCTTGAGAATCTATGCAAACTCAGGAGTCAAGTCTTCAAATAATATTAAAAATAAATAAATAAATAAATTTGGTCCTCAAGCTCTTGTTCTCCTAGCGAATTTTGTTTTTATGAGAGCAATGAGAAGCGTGCTGTTCCTTTTGTGATGTTTTTTGTTTGTTTGTTTTTTCTTTTCTTTTAAAATAGGCTGCTGTTCTGTGTGAACTCTGAATTGTATTTCTAATGTGCATTGCTCGCCTCTATACTTACCTCTAGAGAGCATAATTCAACTCCCTTTGGCTGCAGCATTTGGTTTAATTAGCTACATTTTCTCCAGCTGTTCAGCTCAGCTATGTATCTCACAATGCAGGTCCTGCATTCACTTATTCCTTTCCCAGAGGACCATCCTTATTGGGATAGCAACCTGTACAGCATGTAGGAAGACAAGAACACTCAGAACTGAGGAGGAGTTGTACACATCTAAGTCAACATTGAAAATGCATATACATTTTATGAGATAAAGAGGTTTTTACAAGAGCAGAATGATTCATATTTTTCAGAAGATATGAACACCTAGTGCTAGATGGAAGTGCTGTGATTTTACATTGGGTTAAACTGTGATGTCTGAATAGTAGTTATTAGAAGTGACCTGGAAGCTCTTTGTAAACTAGGATCCCACTTTACCATATTCAGTACTTCCTCATTCAAATTTTTCAGCAAGTATTTTTTTTTTTGAAAAAAAAAAAGCTGCATGACACGTAACTTTTTCCTTTGCCCCCCACCACAGTCCATAACTTCTTCACTTATATCAAATTTACATCAGTGTGTAGCAGACATCTCAAGAGCAACAGGTTAGGTCGATCTAGATTACACTAATTAAGGAACATCTGCAATGAGGGAAAAAAAAATAATTGATATAAAAGACAGAAGCAACATATACAAAACCTAGTGAAGTTCTTATATATTTTTTTTTTCTGATTCATTTGTAGAAAAATTGAAATAAAAGCAGAAGCTGTTTCAGAATCTCACACCTCAGAATGCATCCTTCATCCTGAACGCTACAAAAAGGTAGGAAAGCACCAAACATTTCCATTTTATATTGCAAGAAATTAATGCAAATGGAAGAAGTAATTTTATTTATAAATGATTGACAGATCACTTTTGCAAGATCACTGTGTCTGGCCTCTACAGCTACATATGTTTAAATGTTTTAAAAAGATGTTTAAAAAGGGAATCAGATTGTGGTTTATGAAATTTCAGGCACAGCTTTCACTGTTGATCAAAATGAGAAACGCAAGCATAGGTTAGAAGAATGAGTTGAAGCTATGTTTGAGGTGGTACCGCATTTGAAGAAAAAATAATAAACCAACAAAAAAGCCAATCTGCTATCATTCCCATCTCCGGACTGTTAGTATTATGTCCTTTATTCACTTACTGCTATACATTGAACTCAGAATATTGCAGGAAAAATACAGGTGGTAATTGAGGTCAGAAATCTATTGGAAAGACAGTTTGTTTAGTTCTGCTGCTTGTGAAAAAAAATGCATGGATTTTGTTTGTTTATTCATTTGCCTTCCTATGTAGCCTCCAATTATATTGTTAAAGTAGTCTTGTTTTGGTATTGATATGACATTTTACATGCCAGGACACTGTTCTGAACTTTTTCATAGTTTCTTCATCCACTTCAGTTGAAGAATTAAATCAAATTAGTAATACTAGTATAGCTAAAGTGGTGGAAAATTAACCCCATTTATAAGATTCAAGCTTTAAAGAATTAATGCTACTATTTATATACAGAGATACAAGCTGTTATATACTGTTCCATTTTGAGAATGTAGGCGTGTGTGACTTATTATATTGTATATATTATATTATATATAATTATTATATTATATTGGAGTGTGTGATTATTACATGTGATTACAGTCAGCAATATCACTTGTGTTACTGTTAGGAGAAAGACATAAGAAAAATAAGTTCTACCTACCTATAAATATAGTTTGGATACAGTACTGGATTCCCCATGGCTTGCAGTAGTTTGTTTCATTGATTGGAAGTAGAGTCAAAGTCTTTACAAAGCTGACAGTAGAGGAACGGGAGAAGTAATATAATATTTTCTAAAATATGATGCCTCCCAATGAAGGTTGGTACCTAAATGAGAGATCTCTTTACTGCTGCAAGAGACCTCCCTTTAAATAGGAAAATGAGAAGCTGATGGTCAACATTTAAGAGTAGCTATTGAAACTCCTGTTCTTTCACAGCATTATTCAAAACTCCACAATGCATAAAGTATTTATATACTGTTGTTAACAATAGCATTGGCTATAACCCATAAGTTTTTGAGAATAATCAGTTGACATCCTTTTAATCAGTTCTGCTCCATGTTTTATCAGGCATTCCTCCAACAGAATTTTTAACCATGTTTTTGCTCATTTCTCCTTGTGTTCATGATTATTCTTTTTTCAGTTTTCAGGGACATATCAAGTATCACTTCTCTGATTAGCTTTGCTTATGATGCCATGTTTCCCAGTCTTTTTGGACTACAGTTTTAAAAATAAATACAATGATAATAATAAAAGCTCTTCCAATTGGTTATTAACTAGAATTTATTATCTTGGTTTCAGTGGTGAGGCAGTTCCTCTCTCATATGTGTCTTAGAAAGCATGTGTGTATTTCCCACTCTCTCTGGAAGTTACACTTTTATTCTCTTCAGTGTAATGGCAGTAACCTATTTTTGTTAATGACAATATTTTAGTCATATTTTAAGTTCTCTTTACTGTTGCAGAAGCCTTTAAGATGAATTTTCATACAGGTGTGATATGGAGATGCAACAGGTTGATAACAGAGCTACTTCTTGATCTTGATATGAATTTGATGCCTCAACCCTCTGCATCAAAATTCCATTAACAACTAGAGTTATTAAAAAATGTTTTCTTTCAGAAGTACTTATGGCATTTAAATCATGTGTCCCATTGACCTTTAACGTGTCATAAGCAAAACTAGCTTATGCAAAACAGCATTCTGAGAAAATTGATTTCCAGATCCCCACAGCAAATTGGTAGCTATAATGGTCAGTTAGTATTTAGTGTCTAGTTCACTTTAGAAATGCTGTCTTTCTGGTTCTGCCAAATGGGTATGCTCAGCTTATTCAGAAGTTAGGTCAGCCTGTGTCACTAATTCCTAAAACTCACAGCTGTTTTTTAAACAGCTTAATTATTTAGTAAGTATTTTTGAGCATTAGGCTCTTTTTAACCTAGCACTAGAAGGAGGTCATAAAGTACACAGACTTTTCCCAAACATCCTGCTGTAGCTCAGCCAGAAACTTTATGCTTATACAGGAAATTCTTATTGAAATTCTATTGTATTTATCATGTGAGATGTCAGGCAGGTTCACTGCAATGATCTTTTAAAGCCTTGACCATACCAAAAATGACATATTGTATCACCAAATTTGAGAAGTAACAATGATCTCTGCATACTTGGGATAGGAGAGACTACGGTATATTGTGGCAGTTGCTAATTTTACATGAATCTTATTTAAAAGAAAATCCACAAAAATCCATTTTAATGCAGTTTTCAGACAGCTTTTTGTGCTGTGTAAACATAAGAAGCTAATCTACACAGACAAAGAGAGAACAAAAAAATGTGGAACTATATTACTTCCATTATATAAATTTTAACAGTACTATGATGTGAAGCACCTCGTCACTTTATTCTTCCATCTAACACTAGTGATGTCATGCACCATGTTCAGATGGTGCATGAACATCATTAGATGTTCATGAATTAGCAGGCGTCCAAGCATATAATGTCAGAATAATTAAATGGCCTAGAGAAAACTTCTTTCAGCCCTACACCAGAAGAGAAGGAGAGGAACACAAAGAATTTATGATTCCTCTGAAGAACATCTAGTCAACTCAATCCATGTGCCTTCTATCAATAACTAATAACATATCTGCATCTACTGATGAAGACCATCACTTTTTGCTGTCACAGATATGTATCTTTTTAACATACCCTGCTTATGTGAAGTTAGTTATGTGGTAGGCTCAAAACCAGGACTTGGAAGCTGCAATATCTGAAGTGCACCTGTGACTGTGCCAGATTTCACCTCAGGAATGTATGCCATGTTTGTACTTTCCAGATTTCTTGTATTACTAGTAAGTAGCATCACTGATGTAGGCTGTACCCTTTACTCCCAATTTCCCCCTACACCAAGTGCTTCTTCCCATGAATTTTTCTTTCACCATTATTGTTCACCTTTTAAAGAGCATCATAGAGCAAAAAGCAATCAAAGACAAGGAGAGAGAAAAGAAAATTATTTAAATAGTGCTTGTCTTACTGGTTTTGAATAAAGATTGTGCTGGGTTGTGAGTAGTTACAGTTCTAGTAAATGCATAAGGGTTTAAAACGGAGTGTTATTAAGAACTTTCATATAACAAACTGACGGTTAGCCAGATGAGAACTTCCCCATTACTGTGTTTCCCAAAATATGAATGGAGCCCTAACCACACATAGCAGACAAATGTTTAAGAATGCCAAGAAAGAGAACTTGAGTAAATATTAAGAGAAATGAGCATAAAAAGATGGAAAGGACAAAATGAGAGATGCGGCAATGTGTTATTTTAGACAGCTGTGCTGGTTAAGTATTCTTGCAATTGCTTGTTCATAGATGTCTTATCAAAATCTCTCTCTTTTATATATAAATTTAAAAAATATATTAAATATATAAGTAATGTGAATATTAAAAAATATGGTAGAAACACTGTGGCTAATTATTTATAGACAAACTTTGAGTAAAATGCAAGTGATCAGAAAGTAAATATTTTTTTTAAATGCCAAAGGCCACTGTTTTTCATAATCCCTAGGTAGCTACTCCCACTGAATGTCAAAGATGATCTGATTAATAGCCTTAGTTAATTGTTTAACCATTTCACTCATTAAAATGACCTTTTTTCCATTTCAATATTTTTTTCTGCTCAGAGCATATCTCCCTGGTAATTAAATCCTCACTAAAATGCATTAACTCATGTCACCCATGCTTCGCCTTTGCTGCTCTTGTCTCTGCCGCCCCTTCTCTGGCCTGGAGCTGGTCATCCTCTTCCAGCTTGGGGCACACACTCTTGCTTCCCTCCTGCAGGTGCTGGCCCCAGGGCTCTCAAGCAAGAGCAGAGGCACGTTTGCCAAGCAGTGCCTCAGAGAGATGAGGGAAAGGTCTGCTTGGGACTGTATCACTTTTTTGTCCACCCTCCTCATCTCACCTGTGTCCTACCTACTAAACTACTGAAATTGGTCAGTCACAAGTGGATTGGCTCTAAAAAATTCCTATCTGGTTGCAGTCACAAAGATGGACACTTATATTCAATATGTGTTGTATTTTGTGAGAGGAAAAGGAAGATCTATGTCCCCTGCATACTTGAGCTAAGCCTGGAAAAAAGACATTGAAAAAAAATATAGATCTGCAGTGTCACTTCTTAAGTCAGACAAAGGATGTGATATAATAAATACTTGTGCTCATCCTCTTTCACGGATGTTGCTTTTCATTTTGATTAGTTATTTTAAAAGGCTCATTTCTTAGTTTTTACCTCTTGTAAGGCTTTTCATTATACTGCTCCTATAAGTACAAGAAAACAGAAATCACAATGAAACAATATATATACTGATGCTAGAAATTTCTTCTCAAATGAAATGATGCTGGTGCTTTTAAGAGCTGAAAATATTTTACCAAATTTTTAACAGCCTCAGGATGTTATAAGCTAATAATGACAGGCTTATTAGTGTGTGAAATACCTCCTAGCTGTTCTCCAAGGTGTTTAAACTAATCAACTATTAAGAATAAGGGAATAATTTTCCTTTTACTGTCAGTAGCATCAGTTCATTGACTTTACTGATATCTCTTCTGCTTTACACTAATGCAAGAGAAGCAACATGTCCACATATAGCATCAGGTCTGTAGGGTGAGTTGGAAGTAGTATTATTGACTGACCTTGATTTTTGAATGATAGATAAGTGAAATTATATCACATGATGAAAATGTATCCTAAACAGTTTTTTCTCAGCATTTTCCTTGCATCCATGTAAAATTTGTTCCCCCAAACTGACATCTGGCAATTGTGCATCAATTAAAATAAAAAGGAAAAGGAAATCACTAATCATAGAATCATAGAATATCCTGAGTTGGAAGGGACCCATAAGGATCACCAAGTCCAACTCCTGGCACTGCACAGATCTGCCCAAAAGTTTAGACCATGTGACTAAATGCACAGTCCAATTGCTTTTCAAATTCAGACAGGCTTGGTGCAGTGAGTACGTCTCTGGGGAGCCTGTTCCAGTGTGCAACCACCTTCTTGGTGAAAAACCTCTTCCTGATGTCCAGCCTAAACTTCCCCTGCCTCAGCTTAACACCATTCCCGTGAGTACAAATTCACAAAATTTGTATTTCTCTTTCCTTTTGTTCTGAGAGTGGTGCCAACAACTGACGTGACACGACAGTGCCAGGACAAGAGGAAATGGATGCGAACTGAAGCACAAGAGGTTTCCTCCGAACATGAGGAAGCACTTCTGTGCTCTGCGGACAGATCACTGGCATAGGTTGCCCAGAGAGGTTGTGGAGTCTGCCACCTTGGAGATCTTCAAAAACCATCTGGACATGGTCCCAGGAAACCTGCTGTGGGTGACCCTGCTTGAACAGGGGAGGTAGACTGGATGATCTCCAGAGACCCCTGCCAACCTTAACCATTCTGTAATTCTGTGATGCTGGTTGTTTTTGTGAGTTGTTTTAATTTGGGGAGGGGAAATCTGCAAAATGAGATTTTTTATTTTGTAGACAAATTGAAGGACATAGGACATGCATAGACTTTTGAAGAAGAATTTGGTGTTCAAAAGATAAGGAAGAAAAAAAAGGATAATTCTTCTGAGCCATGAAATAAACAAAAATATATCTCACCATCAAAAGTTCAGACAGAGTGTCTAAAGAACCCTGCAAAAGTTGCACATACTAATTCTTTAAACCTAGCCTGGAATCTGAAATGGAAATCTTAACTATTTCTTTTGGTTTATGCAAGATTGTGCATCTGAGGTGACCAGAGTCTGTGGTACAGCCAAATACACTGAAGGTTGCTGGGCGTGCAGTGCTTTAGAAAATGATGGATGGATGCTAGCGGTATCTGTGAAGAAAAAGCATTAACCTGAAAATAGTCTTCACATGGAACTGACTGGTATCCCTTCCTATCTGAAGAAGGAAGCTGATTAGAGGTATCTGCTGACAGATCACAGATGTGAAAGATTGTGGAAAAAGGATTCTGCGTTTTTTTGAAAGTCAAGACTGAGCTGAGAATCAGCATCCTGCCCTGTAGCATCCCAACCAAGATAATACGTTAAGGATTAGCAGTGCTTTCAGAAACAGCACACTGCAATTGCTACTGAGCTTTGTGAGTCAAGTACAAAATTATAGAAAGGGGTATTAAGTGCTCTCACATGTAAAAAGGCACTGAAAGACTGAGAAGGATGAACAAGGAAAGAAGAACCTCAAAATGGTATCACTGAACAGATGAACAGACTGGACAACAAGGGGAAAACTTTGGAAATTGATGCTACCAGTATAACAACCCATTTGGTCTTTCAGCTTTCAGCACTTGGGTTTCCAATGACATTTTCCTGGCTAAAGGGTGAACCAGGTTGTAAATGCTCTGGAGTCACTTGGAGTCATTTGTATAAGTCCAGTTTTGGCAATGTTTGTTTGTGATTTATTTTAGAATTGTGTGTGGAATTAACTTATTTAAAACTGACTACAGGAAACACAGTTTCAATAATCACATGTTCCCTCTAGTCATGGTTGAATTTATCTTCCCAATTATCTTTATCAACAAACATTTCCAGATTGCTTCTGACTTGTCTATTAAAATATACTTGGTGCTAATCAAAACTGTGCATAACCCACTAATCATGCTGTCAGCTGCTACTAGCTCTATGGCGATAGTAAGATTCAAGGAAAAAATAATATTTCAATTATATGGTTATCTAACCCCGTATTTGTTGATGGGATTATTATCTAAATTCTAAAAGGTCGTGGAAAAGGATAAGAGATTTGGACAGGGGTTAGCAGATGGTCCAGAACTGAAGTCAGGTGTCTAAAGACTTGCACATGAGAAAGGATAGACGAGCCTTTAGTGAGATATGTTCCGGTGTGATTTTCTAAGTAGGACTTAAGCAATTTATTTCAATTCTCATATAGTGAATAATTGCATGTAAATCAGAAAGCAGCAAATGCAGAACTCTTTTTCTGCACTATAAACAACAAGAAAAAATCACACTTTTTGTTTCATTGGAAAATATTTCTTATCATTTTGAACTTGCTGTTCTGCTTAACTGACTTATTTCATTCTTATTGACTTCCATGGCAGTAGCACCCACATGCTTAGAGAATTCTCAGGCAGTGATTTGTATACATGATCATGCATACTCTCCAACTCATCATCTTGCCTGAAGTCTTACAGCGACAACAAAGAGGAAAAGAAACATATTTATTATTTTTACTCCTCAGACTGGAAATTAAGATCTGGAGAGATCACAGTTGGGAGTTCTACAATTCTTAGTGCACAAGTAAGTTACAAGTACATAGAAGTCTCTTGTTTTCAGAAGGAGTTGCTTGAATATAGCACAGGATTGGATGGAATGGACTGCAAGGCCAGAACATTTATCATTTAATGACACTCAGAGACCTAGATATTTGCACACAGAATGAGTCCAGCAATATAAGCCAGTAAAAGTTACCGAGAAACAGTATAACCATATATTTTCAATGTCATGTTTTTCAGTTGTTGTTGTTTGTTGTGTTTTGTTTTTTGTTGTTGTTGTTGTTGTTTTTTGTTGTTGTTGTTGTTGTTGTTTTCTTAATTTAGCAATGCATGGTTCACTAGTTAAAACACTAACATTCTGCAATAAGTTCTAAGTGCTTGTTAAATGCATGATGAATTGGGAAAGTGATATGTTTCAAAAAGGAGTCATCAATCAGCAGGAATACAGAAAGATGAAGGGGTGTAGTAGAGTTTCTCAACAACTCCTTAGCATGGTAAGTGTTATTCCCAGGGGTAGCTATGTAGTAGTCTAGACCTTTTGTCTGCTTCTTACTTCTTTCTTTAAAAGTGGGTTGCGGAAGTTTTAATAAGCTGCAGTTTGCTTATTATTCTGAAATATATCAAACTGATTCTAAGAAATAGGAAGGAACACATGCTTTATGGCATAATGATTATGGGATTTTTAAGGAAAGGTCACTCAAAAAACTTTTCAATGATTGTGGCTAGGCTTTCTGTCATCATGGATTGAAAGAGAATATCTGAAAACAGAGTAGGAAAGAGACAAATGTATTTGTATATGTTCCTGTCTGTGTTCCTCTTTAGACCCAAATTCATCTGAAATTGCTTGGGTCAGGCTCTCTGAGTCTTTGCCCAGGCACAGTTTGTGTTGAAATCAAAGATGACATATCTTACTTCTTACAATAATCTAAAACACAGTGGAATCACAGAACAGAGGAATTTGTTCTTTAGATCTATATTTCTAAAAATTATAAACTGCTTTGTAACTGCCGTTGACCATCAGTGCTCCCAGACTCTGTTTTGCTTGTGCTCAGGGAGCGAATAGGAAATATTGAGAGGTAAGAACCTGCTTCAAACCAATTGACTGCCTCATTAACAGGTGAGGAGGTGGGATTCTAATAATGGTTAAAAATCATAACCATCAGATATTCATAACATAGTCACACAAAGCTAATCTCTCCACTCCAGCTTTATAATCAATGAAGTGGGAGACCTCCTTCAGAATACCAGGTGCCTCCATGGAAGAAGATCCTTTCTCTTCCCTGCCCATAAAGGCAGACAGCTTCATAGTTCTTGTGGACACATCCCCACAGGTGTTAAGGAAACAGTTAGCAATATAATATTTCTAGTTAGATCTGCTCACTTCTGTTTTGTTCAAGGTACTACTTAAGGTTTGTAGAATTGAGGCTACAATGTTCATTTATATGGAACAAATATAAAGTTCAGTTCAGCATGTATAGGTGTTTCTAGGAAACATGATCCATCAATTTTTATTTATTTCACAGAAAGAGGTGAAAATTCAAGTTGTTTTCCGTAACAAGAACTGAGAAAGATACCAAGAAAATTCAGAAGAGAGATACAACCTCAGTGTGGATGTTGATGAATACAGGCAGAATTTATGCGTACCCGATGCAATGCCTACAGTTGATCATGGTAAGACAGTTACACTAAAAGAGTTCTATTAGGTGCATACTGAACGTACATAGTAATGTTGCTGAACAAACTGCAGAGTCCATATGCCTCTGTAGCTTGTTAGAAATATGATACTTTAAAAAACAATAAAAGTCATATTATCTGTCTCTAAAATATGGACATATGCCTCAGCAGGATGCATCTGCTAAGCTTAAAATTAAGTCAAATCATGACACATTAGGGATCCTGAGGAAGCACTGGAGGAAGAAGAGCAACGGGGTGAAAATTTAATGAAATATATTGGTACACATGTATTAAAGATTCACTTTACTTCTGCCATCCTTCATATACTTAGTGAAAATATATGCAAATGCAGAGGTACTGATGACATTTCCCATTTTACAAAGCTGTTATAAAATAGCTTTGTGGAATGACAGTATAGACTTTGAATGAAATGAGAAAAGTGAAATAAATGATGTATGCACTGGCTTAGGATGAACTTAAGAAATCTGGGATGTCTACCAGTGATTGGGAAGGTAAAGATCATCTGCCGGGACAAAGAATTTAGTTGGAGGTATGAGGAAGAATGAAGTAAAGAAAGTCTTATTTGTGCTACTGGAAATTTCACTAGAACATAACACATTACGGGGAAAAAAAAAAAAAAAGAAAAAAAGAAAAAAAAAGAGGAATAAGAATAGTAAATTAAGAGATTTGTTTAAAAGCAGAGAAAATGGGCTTGTAAATAAAAAAAAATAATAATAATAAATAAAAGGAATCAGGGGAATGGAAGAAGAGCTTGGACAACATAATGCCTTTAAAGACTAAGGAAAGATGTTTTTGAGACAGTGGCGTTAAAGGATGAGAATGGAAATCAAACCTCATAGCTTGGGAAACAATTTGTTTTTGTGCCAGGTGTGTGCAACTGGCAGTCAGTGAGTTTGGGAAGGGAATGCTGTGGGCAGCTGCAACACCTGTGCTGTCAGGGAAAGAAAAAGCTTGTGTGTTTTCCATGTGTCACATTAGGGAATCAGTGTTCAAGAACCTGACCTCATTGATGCTCAGGACATGCTCAACTACCATGCTGCCTACCATCAAAGAAGTTTTCAATACCAGCTTAATTTTCTTCCTTCCTACTAAGTGGGGGTCCTGTTGGCCATTAGTAGCAGAACTTAGCCCAGTTTTTAGTTTTTACTTATTATTATTATTTTTTTTTTTTCTTACCTAGGGTTCCTGTTCCTTGAGATCTTTCCTGCTCCTGGAGGAAGTCTGAATGGTTTCTTCTGCTACTTTGTTGCTAGCTATTCTGCCTTTTAACCATTTTTTTCCCCTCGTTGTGCTTAGTACTCACAAGTCCTCAAGCCTTTCAGCCTTTCACTCATATTCACATTTCTGTCTTTGAGCCTTGGTCCTTTGCATCCTGTTTGCTCCTGCCACCTTTGTCAGATGGGTCTGGAAATGACGGAGCTCTAAAAGAGTGGTTTGTCTTTTGTTTTGTTGTGTTTTCTGCAGACTGCTCAATCAAATAAGTTACAAAATACAAGAGAGAAGGACAGCATTTTCACCAATGCAAGCAGTCAATCCAAAAGATTGCTTAGGGTCCCAAAAAATTTTTAAGAAGCTTTGAGAATCGATAAACAATTCATTACTTGGATTTCAATGGTATGTTCCCTGTTTAAGATCTTCTTTCTGTGCAACTAATACAAATAATTGTATTATTATGGCAATAATACAATTTTATACAGTAATACAATAATAAAATTATGCCATTTTATACAATAATAAAATATTGTGTAATCATATTTGCTTTATTATGACAATAATACAAATAATTGTTTTATTGCATTACTGGTAGGAAAAAGAAATGTAATTTTGTTGATAAACTGAACAGAGAGGAAAGATAGCAAAGAAGTTAGGCTGCTAACCTCGGATTTGGGAAATCTGAGTCCAAATATTTTTTAGGCTTGAGGTCTTCATGGGCTTCTGAGTGAATAATGGATTTTATCTCTCCTTGCACTATGAAAGGAGTGAGGTGGTTTCCTTTCCTCATAGAAGTGTTGTAAGAATGTTGTAAGTGCTCTGTCACTACATAAGTGCTGCACTGTAAGTGCCTATACAGATTTATTACTCTTATGCTAAAGACCTAAGAGCATTCTGGTAGCATTAAACACACATATTCAATATCTTTATTTAACTTATACTCTTCTCTTTCACACAGTAGTTGTGTTTTCATATCCCCCCATGCATAATTACAGAAATATTACAATATCTGATGGGATGGAAAAGGCACAGGTTCCTTCAGCACTAGAAATGACATTAGAGTGATGTAGATTTATTTTGGTTTTAAATAGTACTGTCGATTCTATAGCTAAGAAGAATGTTTTGTAAACATCATTCATATTCTGTATGAGTATACATTTCACACTTTTGACTTTCCTGATTTTCTTTCCTCTAATAAAAATATGAGGGGTGTGAAATACAGAAAAACAGCTTGGGCATTACTCCAAGTCCTTGTGTATTTTGCATGGATATTCATTTTGACAACTCCTCTTGGGACTTCATATAGGTAAAGGGGCTTCAGGGTATCAATGGGGTCACATTTCGGTGACAACTTCTTGTAAATGTTCCTAAGAGGCTACTGGCATTAGTCCAACACCTTGATTAAGAGACTTCATTTGGCTTGCACAATGTTATGATGGAAAAATTATTCTCAGGCAGAGGAGAAGACCAAGAATTATGAACCACATGTTCTCCTTACTTAATTTTTGAAGTCTCAACAGCCATGCATGTTTAAAGATTTGGTCTAATCTGCAGAATTGTGCATATTTTCCCCTCAAGGAAGAACTGGAAGGGCTTCAGCATTTTCCCAAATTAAAGTTTACAACTTTGATCATGATTTAATTCACTGTGGGGGATGGCTGTAAATTGCTACAGATTTAGCAATCTATGGGTGCCAGGCACCCATTTCATCTGCAAAAGCTGTTAGATATTCTGTTAGAAGCAAATGGTCAAAACCATTAAAAATCTATTTTGCATATAATACACAACAGTAACAAAAAATGAGTTCACACTTTTAAACAAAAATAAACCTTGCATATCTACTTTTCTCAGTGAGGAATGTTGAAAAATACATTTGAATTCCTCTTAAATCTATGCTATTTTTCCCTGGCCATAGTGTGAAAGATTGGTAATAAAGTATAATTTCTTTGTAAAACAGGCACACACATCATGCACACATGGTTTGGTTTTCAGAAGGATTGATAAAATAAAAAAGAATTGACTGGTCTTGACAAAAATCAATTAGTATGAGATGTTGCAAGGACTTTGAAATGCGTTCAACATGGAAAATGTCATACTATATCTGGCAGCCTTGAGAACGTGTCCTTAATTTTTAGCCACAAACCTTTTAGCACAATGGATAAAAACAAACATTTAAGTAACATGAAAAATCAGCTTTGAAGAGAGCAACTCTAGGCCATTTTTAATCATAAAAAATAATGACAGCAATGACTTCCCCAAAGACTTTATAGATACTGGAGGCTTGCACCATTTTGTGTGTTTAATCATCATGTTTCATATTGCAAATCCTCTGTCAGCTCTTTGGGAAGCCCTTCCTACAGCCTGACATCTCTCCCAGAGCAGCAGAAGAGGCTGAGATGACAACAGTGTGGGGGATGCATGGTCTGTCAGGGCTGCTGATGGGAAATGAGGACATTCAGGTGGACGAGTACCCAAAGCAACCAATGCTGGAGCTTTTTGATTGGAGGGGTTGTCCCTTGAGGTGCAATTTGCTATTTAAATCTGTCAAAAGCTTTTAATATTGAAGGCTTAATTGCATCATTTGGGAAGACTGTTATGAAGAAAGATGCGTCTTTATAAAGGCTTAGCTCAAGGATGTCCAGTTAATACAGTGCTTTGGGTATCTACAGTATCATGATATAAATGGTACCAAATGATGCAAGGACATATTTCTGTCTTTCTCCCTTCCCTTCCTTTTTATTTGACATTTAAGTCTAGGGACAGGAAGTTTATGCTCCAGGCTCTGTCCTTTGTATTTCACTCACTGGTGTCACTGTGCCCAGAGTCTCCATGGCCCAGCACCCAGCCCAGCTCCTGGCAGGTGTTGCTGCCCCTGGGCATCCTCCCCGACCTCCTGGCTGTCTTTTGCTGCCTTTGATGGGACCCAGGCACTCAGAAGTGGCAGCAGCTGGAAAGTGGGCAGGACAGATATAGAGGATGGATTTGGCCGAACTTTGGGAAAAAAGAAACAAACCAGCAAATCACTCTGATTCCCAGTGCTCCCATGACCTGTGAAGCTACTCCAGATGGCCCAGCACCACCCATGAAAGCAGGGCACAGGTACATCACTCTTCTTTACTCACGGCTGCCTGTCAGGTATGCACACAAACCATAACATTCCCACTTATTCTGGTGCTGTCTCAAACCCACCAAGATGAGACACCCGTCTCCCAGTGCACACCTTCCCTATTGTCCCCTCCTACTTTCCCCAATACATTCTTTTACACCCCAGGCACCCTCTCTGACTTATCCATAACTGGCTAAGTTTGTGCTTATCTCTGTCTTTCCCTAACAATATTTGTGGAAGGGGAGATTAACCATAAACTGAAATTAATTGGCATGTAAAATTATTTGAAAAATGCAAATTAGGCCATTAAATCATTTAAAATGTCATGCATAGTGCAGCACAAAATTTGGCAGGGAGAAGGGGTGATTATCACAGGTAGGCAGGCCAGCAGATGGCTGAGAGCTTGGGAACACTAGCTGCAAGAAAACGATGTTGTTCATAGCTCCTGGACTGCCTCTTTACATGTTAATAAACAACTACTACTACAGTAATGGAAATTCCTATCAGCTCTTTTTGCTATACTGTGGAGCCTGTGAACAGTGATATTTGCATAACTACAATGCTACCACATACTTATCTCTGCAGGGTCAATTTAAACTTTAATGCTTCCAAAACTGGTAAACTCAAGCTGGTGAAATAAGTGGTGTTTTTAGTGGGCGAATAATGATGCCCATTTAGTTCTCATATTTAAGTTCTTATGGAATGTTTTCGTAAATCTTAGCTTTAGTTGGATACCATGGTGAATTGTACGTCTATGCGGATGTAATAACTACTATATGTTGTAAGGCAGTTCAGGTACACCGTGAGATGCAGTTATATTTCATCAGACCTTTTTTCACATTGTTTGCTGTTCCTTCATGCTCCAATGAATTGGGAAACATGTTAATTGCAATGAATACTATGGTTCTTTATTGGCTGAATGGTTATATTGTGCGAATGCGCACAGAATCTGGTTAGGGAACTGTGTCCTTCCTACAGTACAGGAAAAGGAACTGTAAGCTATAAGCCGATAGGATCAATCTCAGAAAAGAAACTGGGGTATCAAGTAGCTGGCAAATGGAATCTGCCTGTGTAAGAAAGTCCGGATAGTCAGTGATGCAAATATCCTCCTCTGGGAAGGCTGAATCTTCATTCATTTCTGGGCCACTGTCATCTGTATTTTTTCTTATAGTCAGCCTGAATTCAGTGTAGATTCAGTCTGCCCCCAGATGAATCCTATTCTGTCATTTGCACCAGGAGACTTTGAAAGGAGTGCCCTGGGACCCTGTGGCTGCTTGAGAGGGTGATCAGAAGCTTTAGGGCATGGGCCCAGCCTGAGCAGGAAGGCTTCACTAGATGAGGACTAGGAAGGAAATGCTGACCCTCATAACACACTTCCTGCTAGGAATAGAAATGGGTAGCTCTCTCAGGTTTGAAAGTGTCCTGTGGGACAGCCTACATGTGGAGCAAATAAAGCTTACAGTAAAATGCTGGAGCCGTACAAAGCCATACCTGATGCTGTCAGAGACTAGCAGTTGCCCCTGAAAGCAAAAACACAGTCTTGCTCAGAGGTAAGAGGTTAAAGTGGTTAAAGTGGAGACGATCCAAAATGAGGTTTTTGTCTGTTAGGACAGTCCTTAGATTTGATCAAAATAATAGACAATCTATCCCACAAGCCAGACAGAGCATGGTGGTTATCATAACACTCAGGGTAAACTTCCCTGGAACTGGTGCAATGTATAAAGTATCCTCAGGCATCCATATCCATTGATATCTGTGGGAATATTCAAAACCTGACTGGACCATGGTCCATGGGCAACTTGCTATAGCTGTTTCTGCTTGAGCAGGGGGACTGGAGTAAGTGGTCTCAAGAGGTCCCTTCCAATTGATTCTGATTCTTAGTTTAGAAGCAGCCATAAGGTATAGTGAGGAAAGAGCAGCTGCAACTTTAAAAAAGTTTAGAAAATGCTTCAAAAAACAAAGTAGACAAAGTGCCAGGTGGCCAGTATGATATTGCCACAGAGTGGATTTATAGCATCATTAATTTAACATCAGACTTCTTTGTGTTCTCCCTTACTGAAAGTACCAGTGCTGCCATCAACTGTTCCACAAAAAGACAAATTACTTTCGGTGGCACTGAGCACATAAACTTCAAGTTCATTTCTAAAACTGGAATCCTGGATCGAAGCAAATATAAACCGCGTGATTTTCATCTTCTCGATCTGAACAGAATATTGTCAAACAGATATTTTCTCATTAGACCTTTGAGAAGTCAGGATTGTAATAATTATCATTCCTTTAAACAAAAAGGTATTATCAAAAAAGTAGTAGATTTTGGATCCAACAAAAGATATGTCAATACACAATTCATGATCAATATTATTTATAGGTGTATTTAGAATTCATCCTTTCACTATAGAACATGCAACTAATATTTCTCTTTCCCCCACTAACTTGCTGTGTGATATTCATCATGTAACTACACTGAGGTGAAATCAAAGAGACCCTATATATATTTCAAGTCAGTTTATACATTCTCATGATATATATATATATATATTTACTGACATCTAATTTAGAAGTTTATATAGCTTCATAGGTATTCTACAAATGTGTTTTGTTTTAATTATCAGTACAAATTAAAGGTAGCACTAGAGTCCTGGCATGTATTCTTGTGTGTGTTCACAGAATCACAGAATTTCTAGGTTGGAAGAGACCTCAAGATGTGGTATTAGTGTTGGTATCTTTATTTTTTTTTAGTAATCTATTCCTAGAAATACATAAGTGGCATTACATAAGGATGTGCTGTCAGTCTGATCACTGACAGTTTCTGACTTTTTTGCATGGAGTTAATCTTAGAAGTCTTTGCACAACCCATCTGCATGCTATAAACTATTAGATGTTCTTTAGATGTTTTTTAAAGACTTCATACAGACCCTTCAGAGGACTGTTTTTCAGACAGTCAATAACCAGAATTTTTGCTCCCTGTGACAATTCCTATTAAAACTACACAAAATATAGATAATCAGTAAATACAATTGAAAAAGACAAGAATCTGAGTTCACTCAGAAATCTCATGGCATAACATGTTTCTTTCTTACTTTATAATGA